GGTTGTTTTGATGCAAAAGTATTCTTAAATTAATTCTTTCTAGCTCAAGATGCATGAAAATGAGAAAAAAAATGGATTTCACGCTTTGGAAATAGTGCATCTTTTAATGCATTTTTGGACGGTAAATTTTCAAGGATTTAAGGTTTTCATACATCTGCCTGATCTACACCATTTTTTATGCTTTAAATTTTATAGTTAGAGATGAAAATATCTTTTAAGTCTATCACAAGTTTTTTTGTATTGAAACCACATTTCTCGACACTAATTGAAGGTGCACTTTACTTTGATTGTTTAGAGCCTCGGTCTTATACAAAGGCACCTTTTAAGTAAGTATAACTATATATTCTTAATTATAATATTTAAATAATATATGTATATTTAATATAATAATTAAATATTTTTAAATATACATTTTTATTTTATTTTTGAGTCGGGCCTAGTCGGATCTGGGTTCAGGTCCAAAGTCCAGTCGGGTCCAAGTCCGTTCGGACTCACCCCAAGCCGTTGCCACCCCTATTTAGATGGTTGAATGGGATGTTGACGAAGTATAAAATTTACCAGCAAACAACACATGCAAAAATAACTTTGTTTCAGAGAGAGAAAGAAAAATCATGAAGGAAATCACAAAAAGAAACAACAAAACATGCGGATACAAGTATCCCGACATATGTCTATAAACAAAAGAGAAAAAACAACACCCACAAAGATGCTTCTCTCTCTACAAGAAATACTTTCTTTATTCCATAATATTCAATCTCCATTATATGGTGCGTGCCTCTCTCTTTTATACATTTCAATCACCATCTCACGCTAGTATCCAAAGATAACCCCTAATATATCTCATTACTAAAAACAAAATATGATGCTTAACCAAAATAAATCTATATCTAGATTTTTTCTATATTCTTCCATCCAATTTCCTAAAAGATAACTACAACTCCCAACTTCATCTTTTACGCCTACGTGACTCATTATGCTCCTGAGTTTCAACCCAACCCAAAAAGATAACACTCCCTTTAAAATAGACAACAGAATATATTTCCTAAACTAAAGATAAAGGGAAACAAAATATATTTCCTAAAACCTAAAGATAACACCTAGGACCCCAACTAATACATCCTTCCAATATGGGAGAAAACGAACTCTTTCAAAATTTAAGGCAAACAAGTATTTCCTAAAAAAAACTTTGATCAAACTAAATAAAAAAAATCTTATTTTTAATAATTAATCCTAATAAAAAAAATAAAAATTCTACCCAAGCTCTAAAAATAAAATTAACAAAAAATAAAATTAAAATTTGTAGCAACCAGACCTTCATCTGTATCATTTTCCCTTGGTTGGAGAAAATTCGTACTCGAGTTTTAAAATGCACCAAAATAAAAATTGTTGTAGTCCCACCGCCTTCTTCAAAAGGGATATTGAAAAACGATCCTACGACCTTCAACCTAAATATTGAAAAATGATCCTGCAGCCTGTGGGTTAATGCATTGATCAAGACACGACGGTGCATTGAAATTATGAAACCCTCGAGGATACATCCAAGATGATGATTGCAATTGAATATAAAAAACAACATGTTCTTTATCTTCTACTGGTTGTTCATCAAACTTAGGTAGATCAAATTCCTGATCATAAGGAAATAAATCAGTCTCATGACCATGAGACTCCCAACTCAGAGTGTAGGTATGAAATATGTTCTCGAAAATAGAGTTCGACTCACTACCATTATCATAGTGTTTCGAAGCTAGTTTTTGTATCAAATACGGAGTCAGTTGTTCTACTTGCCTTTTCAAACCTTTGATATCTATCTCATGGAGAGCTCGGAGGTTTTATTTTTGCTAGATGGGTTGAGTCCCGATGCTCGGCTATAGACCTTGTCCATGAGTCATGACGCCAATCGATGAAACACCATGATCCACAAGAATCGACTAAGCTTTGATACTACTTGACAATGTAAAATTTACCGGCAAACAACACCAGCAAAAATAATTGTGTTTAAGAGAGAGAAATAAAGTTCATGAAGGAAATCACAAAAAGAAAAAACAAAACACGCGGATACGAGTATTTCGGTACGGACCCATAAACACTAAAGAAAAAACAACACCCACAAAAAGGCCTCTCTCTATCCAAAAAACACTTTCTTTATTCCATAAAATTCAATCTCTATTACATGGTGCGTGCCTCCCACTTTTATACATTTAAGTCACCATCTCATATGACATTCAAAATACCCCTAATATATCTCACAACTAAAAACAAAATATAGTAATTTACCAAAATAAATTATCTCTAGATTCTTTCTATATTCTTCCATCCAACTTCTTAAAAGATAACTAAAACTCTCTACTTCATCTTTTACGCAACCATGACTCATTATCTTCCCGAGTTTCAACCCAACCCAAAAAGATAACAGTCCTTGTAAAATAAGAAACAAAATAACTTTCCTAAAAACTAAAGATAAAGGGAAAGAAAATATATTTCCTAAAAATTTACTCCCAACTAATACAAGAGATAAACTTTCCTAAACGTGACCTTCTATCCCAACTCGTACCAAAAACCTACTCATCCTTCCAATATTGAAGAAAACGAACTCTTTCAAAATTTAAGCCAAAAACACTTTTCCTAAAAAAGAAAACTTCAATCAAACTATCCTATTTCTAATAATTAATTCTAATAAATAAAAATAAAATTCTACCTAAACTCTAAAAAAAAAATTAACAAAAAATAAAAATAAAATTTGTAGCAACCAAATTTTGATCTTCAGATGTTTAAAAATCCTAATTTGATGTTGTTCTAAAGCAAGGATATTAAGTTTTCGTTTTTAAGAAAAACGTCGTGACCCCATGATCCTAATTTGATGTTGTTCTAAAGCAAGGATATTAAGTTTTCGTTTTTAAGAAAAACGTCGTGACCCCATGAATATCAGCTGCATTACCCCTCAAATACAGAAATAAGTAATTGTATTGCTCAAATTTTGAACTATAAGTTGTAGTATTTGATCATGATAAATGATTGAATAAAAACTTGAACGTGTTGCTTAAAGCAGAGATATAAAACTCGGTAGTAGCTCAAACTCGCCCGCGTTACTCCAACTTGCTAGGTAAATATGCAGTTGAAAATGCCGTTCATGCAGGGACAACCATGACCCCATGTATTGATAATATAGTCACATTGCTTTTTAAAAATATTATACTTTTATGAGCCCATTCTTTTTTCATGTATTGGAGATATTTGCACATTGATTTTCTTTTTCTAATGTATTGGTGATACATACTCATGAGCTTCAGGTGCATCAGCAAAAGAACTTGTTCAAATGTCGTATCCTTTTAACATTAGTCCATCTTAAAGATGGGATATTGCATAATCTCAACAACCACAATCATGAATATGAAAAACAAAAAAAAATGAAACATTTTAAAACTTGTTTTTAATTCACCTCAAATCATCAAATCCGTACTAATTTTTGAGCTATAAAATCAAGCTTCTATAGCATAAATACATTTAAAGTTTCTTAGAATGTGTTTCAAATATTAAATCCATCCCTAACATGGACTTTTGTAAGGGAATGCATCTGAATAAAAACACAATTAGACCATGTATCATGTATAGAATATGCAATAAGCCCTTCGTGAAATAAGAATCGTCCCAAAAACAACAAACCTACCCATATTTAGTCAAAATTCGAAACAAAGGAAACACCATTGGGGACAGAGAGATGTTTTTTTGTTCAAGGGACCGAAAGACATCGAAATTTGTAATAAAGAAAGGTAAACAAGATTTGAAACGAACAGATCATTTTTCAATAAAGGGACTGAATGATATCCTTTACATGGAAAAAGTTTATATAAGGTGTCAACCTTATACCATATGAGTAAAATGCACCTAAAAAACTCACAAGAGACTGTTGTTATTATCCAGAAAAATCCTCAAATCAATCCTCTTAACCTCAAGATTCATAGAGGTGAAAAAGCAAGGGCTTTCTAGTCTTAAAAATAGTTAATCTTCTAACACATTATATGGACCATCCATTTTCAATATTTTTATGTTTTTATAGATCTGCTTGATTGTCGCCTTTGCTAAAATTTTAAATTTCATAATTGAGAATAACAATAGATTTTCATATCATCACAAGGCTTTGTGGGTTGTGGGATGAAAACTACCATTTCAGCAAAAGTTTTAAGGTACGCATTACTTCAATAGTATAAGGTTGACACCTTATACAAAACCTCACCCTTCAAATATTTATACCTTACACAAACCTCACCCTTTTACATATTCAATGAATCTTTGCACTGCTGAGTTTTTGCATCCTGACCATTCATTCGGATTCTCATTACCTTCTCAAAATTCCCTCTTTATTGTTATAGTTACAAGTACCCAATGGGATTACAAGCTATTATGACTAATTAATAGAAGGGTGAGGTTTATACAAGCCATTAACCTTTTAGACGTACAATATTCTACACCATTTGATACATCTTTTTCAAAAGTGCCAAAAGCAGTATAAGACAATGCAAAATCTACAATGTCCAATTAAAATAGATAATATAAATTCCTGCAACCTTACTACCTCTACAAGGTAATCACCACCTTATAAATCTTTTTCAGTAATAATACAAACATGGAACTACAAACATGGAAACTGACATGTTCGAGCTTGATTTACCTACATGTTTCAGAAAAAAAAATCTCAAAAACTTGGGTTGGATAGATAACCCACCAGCTCCAAGTCGAACCGGTTAAATCAAGGAGTCAACCGACATGTTCAAGCTTCTTCAAATTTTTAAGGGAAATTTACCAAAATATCTATGAAAGACGGACCATTCAGCATTTTACCCATCTGCAACTATTCTAGCTCATAGTCATACATCCCTTAATAGGTGTTTTATAATTAAATAAAAAAATGAGTGGAATGTTAAATAGGGAATGCTAAATAGTTCATCTCTCACAGGTATCTGGATAAATTTCCCCTTTATAAAAAATGTAAACAAAATCTAAAATATTTGAAGAAGGATAAGGATCCTTGTATCATACAACAACCACTTTCATTACTTTAAAACATCATCTAATATGATTCGGTCCAAGCCCACAAGTGAGTCTGATTCCAACTTTAACTAGGAAAATCAGAAACTGCTTGATTGAAGCTTAAATCACCCAACTTTGAGCTTGAATTGATCAACGAAAGCTTGTGCTCAAACCCAAAGCCCTAAACAAGGAGAGCACATGATATATAATCTAGGTACCCTTCCGGTTTACATATAAACCAGACACATTCAACATATAGAAACAAGCTATATACATATTAAACAAATTCTATTGCAGCTCAAAGCACACTTCCCTGGGTTTGAGCTCGGCTTGATTAATAAATGAGCTGTCAAGCTAGAGTTCGCTCCGCTCTGCTCCACTTGATCCATCAAGCTATAAAAAATGGCTTGGCCCACTAGGAGTTACTCAAGCTTGGCACTTTAGAAGATTGTATACAAGATATTCTAGAGCTTACCTGAAAGGTTGTAGAAGAAAACAAGATATTCAATTGTGCACTGATTTGCAGATAGCATACGCTGGTGAGCCAACTCCATGTTTTCAAGATCCAAATTATTGTGCAATGGAGTTTGGATTCTACTGGTGAGGTGCTGGCTACACAGCTGTTGGATAGACAAGGTGATCTGAAACAACCAATATGTAGCTGATGATTAACAGCTCTATATACACTGTCAAAGCCAAGAGAAACCCTACCTCATTCCATTTGAGAGAGAGAGAGAGAGAGAGAGAGAGAGGAGGAGAGAGCATCTACAGTCGACTCCCTAACTAACTACTACTGTTGGAGAGAGAGAGAGAGAT